TATCGACGGATGAAGACTGGATATCGACGGAAAAGTTGGAAAACTTAACCTTCGATATCTCCTAAACGGTTAGAGATACAGGCTTCGGACAGGTACAAATTAAAGCCCTTTCAAAACCCTACATTTTGCACTACATGGACGACTCTCTACTCCCAGTAGAAGCGGAGATATCGACGGAGAAAGGTTGGAAAACTTTAACCTTCGATATCTCCTAAACGGTTAGAGATACAGGCTTCGGACAGGTACCAAATTAAAGCCCTTTCAAAACCCTACATTTGGACTACATGGACGACTCTCTACTCCCAGTAGAAGCGGAGATATCGACGGATGAAGACTGGATATCGACGGAGAAAGGTTTGGAAAACTTTAACCTTCGATATCTCCTAAACGGGTAGAGATACAGGCTTCGGACAGGTACCAAATTAAAGCCCTTTCAAAACCCTACATTTTGGACTACATGGACGACTCTCTACTCCCAGTAGAAGCGGAGATATCGACGGATGAAGACTGGATATCGACGGAGAAAGGTTGGAAAACTTTAACCTTCGATATCTCCTAAACGGTTAGAGATACAGGCTTCGGACAGGTACCAAATTAAAGCCCTTTCAAAACCCTACATTTTGCACTACATGGACGACTCTCTACTCCCAGTAGAAGCGGAGATATCGACGGAGAAAGGTTGAAAACTTTAACCTTCGATATCTCCTAAACGGTTAGAGATACAGGCTTCGGACAGGTACCAAATTAAAGCCCTTTAAAACCCCTACATTTTGCACTACATGGACGACTCTCTACTCCCAGTAGAAGCGGAGATATCGACGGAGAAGGATGGATATCGACGGAGAAAGTTGGAAAACTTTAACCTTCGATATCTCCTAAACGGTTAGAGATACAGGCTTCGGACAGGTACCAAATTTAAGCCCTTTCAAAACCCTACATTTTGCACTACATGGACGACCTCTCTACTCCCAGTAGAAGCGGAGATATCGACGGAGAAAGGTTGGATTTGGAAAACTTTAACCTTCGATATCTCCTAAACGGTTAGAGATACAGGCTTCGGACAGGTACCAAATTAAAGCCCTTTCAAAACCCTACATTTTGGACTACATGGACGACCCTCTACTCCCAGTAGAAGCGGAGATATCGACGGATGAAGGATGGATATCGACGGAGAAAGGTTGGAAAACTTTAACCTTCGATATCTCCTAAACGGTTAGAGATACAGGCTTCGGACAGGTACCAAATTAAAGCCCTTTCAAAACCCTACATTTTGCACTACATGGACGACTCTCTACTCCCAGTAGAAGCGGAGATATCGACGGAGAAAGGTTGGAAAACTTTAACCTTCGATATCTCCTAAACGGTTAGAGATACAGGCTTCGGACAGGTACCAAATTAAAGCCCTTTCAAAACCCTACATTTTGGACTACATGGACGACTCTCTACTCCCAGTAGAAGCGGAGATATCGACGGATGAAGACTGGATATCGACGGAGAAAGGTTGGAAAACTTTAACCTTCGATATCTCCTAAACGGTTAGAGATACAGGCTTCGGACAGGTACCAAATTAAAGCCCTTTCAAAACCCTACATTTTGGACTACATGGACGACTCTCTACTCCCAGTAGAAGCGGAGATATCGACGGATGAAGACTGGATATCGACGGAGAAAGGTTGGAAAACTTTAACCTTCGATATCTCCTAAACGGTTAGAGATACAGGCTTCGGACAGGTACCAAATTAAAGCCCTTTCAAAACCCTACATTTTGCACTACATGGACGACTCTCTACTCCCAGTAGAAGCGGAGATATCGACGGAGAAAGGTTGGAAAACTTTAACCTTTGATATCTCCTAAACGGTTAGAGATACAGGCTTCAGACAGGTACCAAATTAAAGCCCTTTCAAAACCCTACATTTTGGACTACATGGACGACCCTCTACTCCAAGTAGAAGCGGAGATATCGACGGATGAAGGATGGATATCGACGGAGAAAGGTTGGAAAACTTTAACCTTCGATATCTCCTAAACGGTTAGAGATACAGGCTTCGGACAGGTACCAAATTAAAGCCCTTTCAAAACCCTACATTTTGCACTACATGGACGACTCTCTACTCCCAGTAGAAGCGGAGATATCGACGGAGAAAGGTTGGTAAACTTTAACCTTCGATATCTCCTAAACGGTTAGAGATACAGGCTTCGGACAGGTACCAAATTAAAGCCCTTTCAAAACCCTACATTTTGCACTACATGGACGACTCTCTACTCCCAGTAGAAGCGGAGATATCGACGGAGAAAGGTTGGAAAACTTTAACCTTCGATATCTCCTAAACGGTTAGAGATACAGGCTTCGGACAGGTACCAAATTAAAGCCCTTTCAAAACCCTACATTTTGGACTACATGGACGACTCTCTACTCCCAGTAGAAGCGGAGATATCGACGGATGAAGACTGGATATCGACGGAGAAAGGTTGGAAAACTTTAACCTTCGATATCGCCTAAACGGTTAGAGATACAGGCTTCGGACAGGTACCAAATTAAAGCCCTTTCAAAACCCTACATTTTGGACTACATGGACGACTCTCTACTCCCAGTAGAAGCGGAGATATCGACGGATGAAGACTGGATATCGACGGAGAAAGGTTGGAAAACTTTAACCTTCGATATCTCCTAAACGGTTAGATATACAGGCTTCGGACAGGTACCAAATTAAAGCCCTTTCAAAATCCTACATTTTGCACTACATGAACGACTCTCTACTCCCAGTAGAAGCGGAAATATCGACGGAGAAAGGTTGGAAAACTTTAACCTTCGATATCTCCTAAACGGTTAGAGATACAGGCTTCGGACAGGTACCAAATTATAGCCCTTTCAAAACCCTACATTTTGCACTACATGGACGACTCTCTATTCCCAGTAGAAAGGGAGATATCGACGGAGAAAGGTTGGAAAACTTTAACCTTCGATATCTCCTAAACGGTTAGAGATACAGGCCTGGTTCTGGCACCAAATTAGAGTCCTTTCAAAACCCTACATTTCAAAACCCTACATTTTGGACTACATGGACGACCATCTACTCCCAGTAGAAGCGGAGATATCGACGGATAAAGGCTGGATATCGACGGAGAAAGGTTGGAAAACTTTAACCTTCGATATCTTCTAAACGGTCAGAGATACAGGCTTCGGACTGGTACCAAATTAAAGCCCTTTCAAAAGTCTACATTTTGGACTACATGTACGACTCTCTACTCCCAGTAGAAGCGGAGATATCGACGGATGAAGGCTGGATATCGACGGAGAAAGGTTGGAAAACTTTAACCTTCGATATCTCCTAAACGGTTAGAGATACAGGCTTCGGACTGGTACCAAATTAAAGCCCTTTCAAAACTCTACATTTTGGACTACATGGACGACTCTCTACTCCCAGTGGAAGTGGAGATATCGACGGAGAAAGGTTGGAAAACTTTAACCTTCGATATCTCCTAAACGGTTAGAGATACAGTCCTGGCTCTGGTACCAAATTAAAGTCCTTTCAAAACCCTACATTTTACCGTAAATGGCGACTCTCTACTCCCAGTAGAAGCGGAGATATCAACGGAGAATGGTTGGAAAACTTTAAACTTCGATATCTCCTAAACGGTTAGAGATACAGGTCTGGCTCTGGTACCAAATTAAAGTCCTCTCAAAACCCTATATTTTCGACTACATGGACGACTCTCTACTCCCAGTGGAAGCGGAGATATCGACGGAGGAAGGCTGGATATCGACGGAGAATGGCTGGAAAACTTTAACCTTCGATATCTCCTAAACGGTTACAGATACGGACCTGGCTCTGGTACCAAATTAAAGTCCTTTCAAAACCCTACATTTTGCCGTAAATGGCGACTCTCTACTCCCAGTAGAAGCGGAGATATCAACGGAGAAAGGTTGGAAAACTTTAACCTTCGATATCTCCTAAACGGTTAGAGATACAGGCCTGGTTCTGACACCAAATTAAAGTCCTCTCAAAGCCCTACATTTTGCCGTAAGTGGCGACTCTCTACTCCCATTAGAAGCGGAGATATCAACGGAGAAATGTTGGAGAATTTTAATCTTCGATGTGTGTGTGCGTGCGTGCGTGCGTGCGTGCGTGCGTGCGCGCGTGCGTCGTGTGTGGGGGTGTGTGTGCTTGCGTGCGTATATGCACACGTACGTCACGCACACTTTCAATGCAACACATGCACACGGACACAACTGCGCTAAAAAACTCCTGCCGGAGTATAAATAAATACTATCGTAACGCTGAAATATTTTGGAAAAATAATTTTGGGTACATACGAAATATTATCTTATTATCATATATTTATATATCGATATAAATCGTATATAATCTTCATGATATTAATCATATACAATCTCAATTCTTATTTTTTTTGTGCATGTTAACATGTTAATTCATGTTACAAATGCATAATAATGCGCGAGACCGTGCTTGTCAAGTACGCTATTATGGTTGTAGCACGGACATAAACCGCTTGAAAGTGGATGTAGCACGGACAGCCACCAGATGCAGGTTTTACCGTCGAGACCTAAAAGTGGATGTAGCATCGTAGTTCACCTCTCAAAATGGATTCAGATAGCGCCCATTCCCAGTGCGAAAAATCGGTGTCGCCGAAAACGCCGTGTTGGCCGCTCTCAGCTTCCTCTCTGGCGAATGTAACATCGTAGTTCCCTTCTCAAAATTGATGCAGATGGCGCCTTTTCCCAGTGCGGAAAGTCGGTGTCGCCGAAAACGCTGTGTTGGCCACTCTGACGTTCTTCTCTGCTTTTCTTCTCTTTCTATGTTACTCTGAATCCTGCATAATTTTTTTGGCGTGAATGAATCTTTCATTGCATTATCATAAATGTGTGTTTAATAAAAGTTTTTCTTTTGGAAAATAAACATAAATATAATTATAATAAGAACTATAATTATATAATTTAAATAATAACTATTTAATTTTGCTAATTAATCGTCAAAAAATGTATAAATCTATTCAAGAACCGGATATACCTGCAGCATTGGGTTTGCTGGCTCACTTAGATAATGACGAGCTCAAAGAACTATTAAATAATGATGGAAAATTTGAAGACATCGTAAAAGATATTAAACAGGTATAATTTTAATATACAGATCCTATCAATGAAATAATCATACTTCATTATATGTTCACTTTACGTCAATACAAACCTGAAAATGTAGATAAAAAGAAAAATGAAATTTATTTTAATAAAATTAGTTTAAAGATCTGGAGACTGAAAAGGAAATGTTAATGGCAAGCAATAGATCTTTGGCAGAATTTAATTTATCTAAGCAACCTGAATTGGAAGAAGGTAAACAAATTTTGAAAGAATTAAGTGAGCAGGCTAACCAGTTATGTACCAGTACTAAGGAGAAATTAGATAAAATGCGTAAGTTTTTATACACTTCTATAAATGATAAAATCCTAAGTATTATATATATATGTAAGATACATATGACAATGTAAAGTACGTAATATACGTTTATAATATGCATAAGTAACTTTTTTAACATTAGAAAAGATTAAGTATCTATTTCTATAAGAGATCTTAAATATTTTTTTGAAATATACAATAAAAGTAAGGATTACTATTTAAAATATTATAGTTGCAATCAATTTTTGGAGAAGGTGATTTTTTAGGAGATGCATATTAGATTAAGCTGTTACTCTTTCAGAACCATATAACTTGTGTTTCAAATATTCCTTTCAAAAATAGGTAAAACTTCTGTTTAGGGGAGGATACTGCAATAACTGACCTTGACATATGTGTCAAGGATATCATTCTGAGCAACATGCAAAACATTTTAACCGTCGCTTGCTGTTTGTTAAAAAGTTATTAACAAAAGTTTCATTAATTGAGCATAATTTTTTGACACTACATTTAGGTACGGTAAACTTTACGCATATATGAACAAAGAAGAGGCTTGGCATTCTTAAAAACATGTACTGTTTATAAACAAAGCAAATATTTTTATTGGCAAGTTATAAACAAAAGAAGTTCCATAAGTAGGATGCAGTTTTAATGTTTTCCTATAATACGTATGTTCTTAGATATTAAAAATAATATAAAATAATATGAAAGCAAATAGTTTAAACTGTATTTAAACATTCCAATGGATACATAGAGCTATTAGTTCAAAAGAAGCATCAATGCGTTGATTGAAATCATATTACAGATTTCTAAATTGATAAATCTACCATATATTAAAACTATAGATTCTGAAAAGATTAACAAAGACCTTTATGCAAGGTTTGGCAATTAAATCTTTTGCCTTACTGACTTAATGAGTCTATGATATATTAAAATAACAGATTCTGACACAAATTCTAGCATAAATAAATAATAATGCATAAATAATAATAATACACAAATTGATATAAAAATTTCAAATTTTATATAATAAATAAACATTAAAAAATTTAATTGCCAAACCTTGCGTAGAAGCATTTGCTAATCTTTTCAGAATCTATTATTTTGGTATATCGTAGACTCATTTAATTCAGTAAGGCAAAATATTTAATTGCCAAACCTGGAATAAGGACCTTGGACTATACATTATATGTTATTGTATGTCGTCAGTGTATATAATAAGTAAATAACAATATTTGCTTTGTAAATATAATGTTATGTAAATATAATAATGTGTATAATAAAAAAATAAAATGTTTGTAAATATAATTGTAATAAACATGTTTCTAAGAATGTGAAGCTTCTTCTCTGCTCACATATGTGTAAAGTTTACCATATCTAAATGTACAGTGTCGAAAAATTATGCTCAATTAATAAAACTTCTTTTGTTAATAACTTTTTAAAAAACAATGAGCGACAGTTAAAATCTTTTGCATGTTGCTCAAAATGATGTCTTTGACTATATACGTCAAGATCAGTGTCATTGCAGTACCCTCCCCTAAACAGGAGTTTTATCCAAAAATATTTTATTTCCAAGATATTTCATTATATTATTGAAGTCAAGAAACTTGTATACAGATGCAGAGTATACAATAAACTATATTTATTGTTATTGTTTAGAAATTATATTTTTCATAACAATTTTTGACAATTTTTCATTAGTGGATATGCAAAAAAAGATCATTATCTATAGTATATCTTCTAATTTTCAACATAAAGTCTTTGAAACTAAGCTTCAGATTAAAATCTTATTGAAATAATGTCCATTTGAAATTAATTGAAAAAGAATTTTATTTGGTCCCCCAAAGTTTAGCTGATAAAAAGCTTTGTATTTTCAATTGCTTGTTTCATGGAAACTATTATACCTTGATATTTTTGCTATTAAGAAAAAAATTAAATTTTTATAGGAAAATAGCCAGATAAATTATTGAAAACTATACACTATGCTATTATAAATTAAAACATATCAAATAAGTGCTTTTAAATAGATTTTTGAATGAATAATAAGTTTAATACCAAAAATCTTCATATGTATAAACCTCACTGGTACTATCCCAGATTAATTTAAGCATTATATCATATATTTATATGTGAAATGAATGTATCTATTAAATTTTACTATATTAATATTATTAAATAGACTTAAAAAGCAAATATAATTTTTTGACTTTCTAGATATTTATTTTATACATATTAATTTATTTTTTAATTAGAATATATTTTTAATAAGTGTAATTTACTTTTCTAAATGGATTTTTTAATGGATCTAATTTATTTTATTAATTCATTTTTTTTATTTTATAACCAAATTTTTGAAATTTTTTTTTATAGAACTCACAAATGATTAATTATATTATATTTCTTATTGTCATTTTAACTCAGTAATCTTCTCAATGTTCACCATGATTCTGTCATGGTTTATATGTATCATATTTTATAACTGCATCTATAAATTCTATTAAATGCTTTATAGTTTTATGTTTATAACCGTATATCATCAAATTTTCATGGACTTTTCAGTAATCAAAGTAGATTATCATCCCAGAAAAAATGTGTTTTTTATTAGTTTTAATAAAATTATCTTATTTATTATCAGGTCACATTTCTAAACAGTAATCCGTAAACTCTGCTAGTGCACAATAATTCCAAATATCCAAGATCTGTCAACGATGATCTTGTTCATATCTTCTTCGATTAATTTTGCATTCATCCACTTCCATGATTAAACCATTTCCTATAATGCAGTTTTTTTTTATTTTGTTTGTCCAGAAGTATTGTACATTATTTTATTTGGTATTGTTTCAAAGAATGTTATTTTATCGCTAAATCAAGATTTCAAGAATATCTTGTTTAAAAAACATTAGCAATGAAACAATATGTTATCAAACATCATTCTATTGAAATATGTATCTTTCAAATCATGTATTGTCTACAACTGTAACACTTGTCATATTTTCCACACCATTGGGACTCTTCCCATGTGTCACGAGACTTATTCAACTCCAAAAAGCATTTAGGAATTTTGTGAAATCTTGGACTCAATATCAGTTCAAGTTCTTTTATTCGTTGCAAAATAATTGCTTTATATTTAAATTTAAAACTTAGTAAAAAATGCATCACATTCTTCCATATATTTTGATAGTGTTGTAATATTATAATGTTTTTGGAATAAATTATTTTTTTGGGCTACTTTGCTGTATAACAGAAATATAAAATTAATGTATTTATATATAATTTTAATATAACACACATATCATCAATGACTTACATAGTTGTATACTTTCTCTTTCTATTCAGATTTTTAAGTAGAAAATATATAACCACAATAAGTGGTTATCTAGGAAAATAGTGTAATATTAATAGCGATATGTAATGTTATTTAAACATTTTTGGCATCAAATGTTCATTTGAGCTCATTTAAAATATTTTACCCAAAATATAAGACAATAAAATAAGAATAGTTTTCGGAAGTTTAAAGATATACCTAAATATACTAAAGATATATCTAAAGGTATAAAAAATTTTTCATTGCATTTTATAAATACATTGATACACCAATGTGCAAAGATTAATATCAATAATCGATTAAACGGTTATTTTATATATAAAAATATTAAGATGAGGTCATTGAAAAATGAATATTTTACGAGACATTTTATATATTAACAAAAGTATTAGAATAAAATATTTTGGAGAATATTTACTTTCCGAAGATCTTAATATTTGTATACACAAAATAACCTAGGAAACGATGTATATGCGTGTATGTATATGGCGTGCGCGTATGAATGTGTGTATATAACGTATGTTCTATTCATAAGCGACGCCAGAACTATTCATGCGGGTGGGCCATAGGTGGACCAGCGTTTATATGGGTGGATCATATTTATTATATATTATATATCATTTTATCATTCATTTTAATGTTTCTAACCGTTGCGTTTTGTCTCTGGGAGAAATTAACTATGAAGATAGAATTTAAAATTAATTGTAGAATTTTAATTATAAAAATAATTTCATATAAAAAAGCTGAAAACTTGGACAAAATAGGACAGCATAATGATGCAAAAATTTTCTAAAATTTTAGGGTGAGCCAAAGGGTGGGCCAGAGCCCGCCTAGACCCACTCTTGGCGCCGCCTGTGGTCCTATTTGAAACTCAAATTGACAATTATATAATTTTAGAAAGAACAACTTAACGTTAAATATATTTTAATTACAATATGTCTTTTAACCAAAATATGTTCTTGCAACTATTCAAATTCGAAAGAATAAGATATCTAAATTTCTCGAGATCTAAATATAAAAAGTATCTTGATATCTAAATTTAAGAGGAATTAAAAGATGTTAATTAAAATAGGACACCGGATGTGCGTGCACACAATTATACAACAATTATATGCACAGTGATTTTTACATAGTCATATTTATAGGTGATAAATCGGGTATCATGTCTGTTGATACTGCATTGGATCTGTTGCAAGCAGCTGCTGCAGAAATTGAAGAAGAATCAGAAGTAAGCTCATTTTTTTAAATCATCATTTTTTATAATCATTTAGTAAAAATATGTGTAAGCAAATGATTATTATGATTTTTCAATATGTAGACAGTGGCAGAAAAGTTTATGGCAGGTGATATTGAAGTAGACGAATTTCTGGACCAATTTTTAACTAGAAGAAGATTAATGCATTTGCGCAAAGTCAAAGTAGATAAACTAAAAGATCTAATAAGAAAAGGATTTTCTGCGAGCAGTGTACCTGGTTATCCGACCATTTCAAATTTTCCCGGAATGGCACCTTCCATACCATATCCAACAGGATCTGTAGCTATGCCGATGCCATTGCCATCAGGATTACCAGTTTATAGACCATATTAGATATTGTAAAATTTCATTATATGTGTGTGTGTGCGTGTGCGTGTGCGTGTGTGTGTGTGTATGTGTGTGTGTGTGTGCATATATGTGTATATATATATATATATGTTTATATGTATTTGTAAAATATCTCTCCTCAATTAAAGCACAAGATATTTAATATTAATGATCTTTACATGTAACTTCTTGCAAATTTCATAATTAATTTTTCACTATTTTTAAATCAGACAATATATATTGTATATTATATATATATATATATATATATATAATTGTTAGATGTATATACATATATATATCATTATGTGCGTGCGTGTATTATATATATATATATAATACACGCACGCACATAATGATATATATATGTATATACATCTAACAATTAATGACACGATGTTCATGCTGGTAGCCTATATTAAATTGAACATGAAATTCTTTTACCTCATTTTGCTAATTCCTTATTAGTTTTACAAGAATTAATTAATATTAAAAAATAAGTATTCAAGAAGATACGAAAAATTCTGTAACAAAACTTTAGCAGAACTTATTTAAAACAAAAAATTTCCCAGATAGACAAATTTCGGCATATTGTCTGCATAGAGACTGAATTCGAGAATTGAAAATAGTAGTATAAATACATAAATTTACGTAGATATATAGATTACGCATTCTTATACAAGAAGTATTGTAGCAACATATAAAAGAAGCAATCTATTGCCGTGAAAATTGCGGCAACATAGTGTCGGCAAGAGAATGCAATTAATCAGCGATATAACAAATTTATATTTTGCTGCAAAGTTTTATTGGAATAATAAATATGTATTTTTTATAACGAGCACTACAATTACAAATATGTTATGTCTCTCCAGTGGTATTATAAAATATATGTTGAATACTTGCATGCTATTACTATTTGTCTATCTATCTGGGCTGTTGGTAAATTTAGTAACAGCGAATAATTCATAATATACTGGATGATAGAATTATACAATATTATTAATATCTCCTATTGTTACCAAGTATTGTATTTTGCACACACTACTGATAATGGTTTGGTATATCATTGTGCAAATATAATCATAAAACTTATATGTAACAACACATATCGAATCGATAGTTGTTGGTAAACGTATACACAGTCCTAGAAGATAGCTAATAGATTAAAACCATCTTGGATAAGATTTTGTGTACAGAGCTTGTTCTACCACTTTCAATGCATTAATATCCTAATAATTACTTAGAAAATTTTCCTGTTTAGTTTTGTATGTTATATAACACACATAATGTGCGTGCATGTATGCAATATAAGCATATGTGTTTCATGCCTTATACAATCATTTTATTCCTTTACTATATTTAAAAATATCTTAAGAAATATTAATAGTTTAAAAATATTTCTTACACTTTGTATCATGTATAAATGGCTGTGTTTCTATATAGTAAATATATTGATTTTTTTGTATGATATTTAGGATTTCCTATTAGGATATTCTTTCTTTTTTTCTCGACGTTTTATAGAATCCATTGCATATTGTTGGTAATTTTGTAACCATTTGTGATCGACTTTGTTTTTCAGTATGAAATATTTTAAATTTCGTATTAGATTCTATTCTAGAAGCTATTGGTTTCAAGTCTATGTATCAACTTAAATTCTGTAGAAAGATTTAATTTTCTTCTTTACCTCTTTAATATTTGAAGAATTTAAAATATTTGAAAGACGAATAGACAGAAGATATAATATGGTATAAACGTATACAAAATAGTACATACAATTAAATTTAAAAATAGATGCTATTATCTGCAATACTTATATCCTGCTTTTTTTTTTAATATAAGGAATGTAGGAAATCATGCGCTACATATAAATGTGACTAGTTTATAACTTAATGATTTAATTATATACTATTAGCAAATATATAATCACATCAAATAAAAGTAAACATTAATTTGTATACTTAAAATATTGAATAAATTTAATTTACATATAACAAATAAACCAATTAATTTGCATTTACTTTTTCTATATGTTTTTTCTCTTTATGTACTGGTACATCTTTATCTTTGTTATAAGATATCATCATTAACATTAGAAATGAAAAATATAAGATATATTCTATAAAGTAAGAATATTCTGTTCTGGTATGGATAAGTGCCTGTGTTTTCTTATGACGTTGAATATTGTCCCTCCTCATACGGTCTATCTTGAACTGTCTGCTATAATGTGCCTGAGTCCACGCATCAAAATCATAAATTTTAGTAGGTCTTGTATAGACTTGTTCTCTATGTTGAGGTTCTTTAACATTAGCTACTGGTTGTTGATGGATTGATATATGTCGGTCATAATTTTTACGTTGTTCATGATTACCAAGTATTTCATAGGCATCTGAGATATCCTGGAATTTCTGCTTTGCATAATCACTTTTATTTTTATCAGGATGATATTGCAAAGACAACTTATAATATGCTGTTTTTATTTCATTCTGGGTAGCATGTGATGTAATCTTTAAGATATCATAATAGTTTTTATGCTTAATATCTCGTTTCGTTGAATAAAGTCGCGCTAATGTTGATTTTGAAGATCTTATTATGATACATTCAAATAAAGATGCAAAGACCGCATGTTTAGTAAAAATCAAATATTGACATGTGTCATATAACTTTTTCGACACAACATTCATCTTTTCGATTCTTTTCAGTCTTCCAAAAGATAGTTTGATAAAATAGTTCGGTTTCTTCTTTGTAGATATATTACAAAACCTAAAACAGTACGTGTTAATAAAAAATAAAATTATTATTAAAAATAATTATAACAAATTTAACACTCACATATATCAACATTCAACACAATGTATTTTCTCTTACATCATAATTTATTATCTTATACATAGCCAGTTATCAGACTATCAATATTAATTGTTTCCCATTCAATGCAACATTTTTTATGCTAAGGTTATGTAAAGCTTTAAGAGTTCAGTTTAGTTCAGTTCCTTCCTTCTTTCCTTCAATAGATGGCTCTGGACCTGTGGGAGTAATGGAGGATTCACACTGCGTTCGATGTCCGACGTACGACGTCCGACATCCAATAGGAGAACAGCTTTCTAATGGAGAATTGATTGAAGATCTGCCGTTGACTCACGCTGACTCGCCTCATGCCACCTCCTAGCGCGCGCTCTCTCATCGGTGGTGCGACAAAGACGGAGAGCGATTGATCGTCTGTGCTTTTCTAACTTATCTTCCTTAAGGAAGTAAGAGTGAACAAGAATCGGGCACGCTTTGCCGTTACCCTCAGGACGTATGTAGTGTGCACATATTTTCTCAGGGGGCGCAGCGGAAAAAGCGTTCCGGCGTAATCGGCCAGGTGGCAGTTCCCAGGTTCTCTCTGCTTACAATATAAAGTTTACATGTGCCGTACTAATTCGATGTTCATCCTCTAACGAAAAAAAGTGTTTACATTATTTATAAAATGGTTCCTTGTTGCAATTATATAATGAACAACAACCATGCTTTGCTATTACCATCGGAGTGAACGTAATTTGCACGTACTTTCTCAGGTGGGGCGTCGGGAGTAGCGTCTCGCGGAACCCAATCTAATGGCCACTCTTAGGTTTCTCTCTTAACTTATCGCACCAGTTCAGCACTGCAGCTAAAAAGAACAGACTACAAGTATCTATCAGAAGTATTGTATGAGAACAATTTGGAATATACAAAAACTTAGTATAATATGTGAGTCTTGTTCAAAGTGCTAATTACGTAGTAAAAATATGTATCTAGTATTTACAAAACTTGATTTATGTGTTTTTCTGTGTAACAGTGTGTGTTATTTAAATTAGAATAATTAACATGTTCTAGAGAATAGAGTCTAGAGAATAAGAGTATTAACATACTCTTAAGAATAAATGTGTTGGATTCAGTTATAAATGGATTTGATGACAGCATTTCAAATAGCATAGTGAATTCCTAAAATATTCTTGAAGTTTTCTCCTTTCTTGAAAGGTAATTCTTTAGAAATTCATGAGAAGCAAATATTATAAGAATAATTTAAAAAATAACATCCCAGAGAGAGAGAGAGAGAGAGAGAGAGAGAGAGAGAGAGAGTGAAAAAGGAAAGAAATAAATGCCAATTACAATAATGTTACAACAATATTATAATTTCTTATTTAATAATATAAGTATATTATAACACATGTTGTATATGAGTGTTATATTATTAAGCAGGAAATTGTAATATTCTAATAAGCAAAATATTAGCAGAATATTACCAAATTGGCAGATTTAATCAGAATATCGTTGCAAACCTATAATCATTTATGTCTATATGTCTATATAAGCTCATATTCTACATCAATGAAGCTTGTTAATATAACTTTACAACAAATTAGTAGCAGAAACTGAATACAATTTGTAACATATTCTATTTAAATATATCTAAATGGTTATATAATGATATTTTGTTCAGTTTTTTGCAATCAATCTATCATGATGTTCTGTTAGCAGATCTTGTATCTTTGCTAGCAATTCGCTGAAAAAAATATACAGCAGATTCTGCTCAAATTTATTTCTGCAGGTTTTTATAGGTTTAGATATCCAGGATTAATTTAATATTACTAATTGATATTTTGTAGATAATAGTTTTCTCCAAATAAAATTGAAACAATTAAAATAAATTCAATTTTTAATGATATTATAGAAGAAAAGAAACCAAAATTTAATAAGGATCATATATATTTAATAAGGAATTAAAAAAGAATCATCCTATATACAATTATTTAGAGGTTATGAAACAGCTATTATTGTTTATTAAATATATAAGTACAGTTTAATCACATTCAAATTAGTCAAATTCAAGGGATGTTAATAGTTTCTCTCTTCTCTTTATTATATCAAGATATTATTTATTCATGAAGAAAGTTCTAATTATTTCACTGTACATATAAAACATTAACAGTATCATTTGCTGAATACAGTTCTAAAAGTAATTTTAATAAACAAAATACCTGTAATTTCTTATAAAGTTTCAACATATTAAAAGTATTTATAGTTGCGAAATAGTTGTGAAGCATATAAATAAATTTTTAAAGAATATTTAAAAATGAATTTGATTGCAGTTAATTCTTCAAGAATTTTTAGATATTTATTTTCTCATACCGCAAATATCACTTGAGATTAATTCTCTATAAACTCCTTGTTACTTTTACGAGCTGTGTGAACCCGACTTTTTAAAAATTAACTTTCCTGCATAAAAAATGTTAGATTTTCGTTTGTAAATGTTTTTAGTAACATTAATTTTGTTTGTAGTTCGACCGTTTAAAAAATATAAAAATTTAAAAAAATGACACCCACCCAACTTTGAGATATCTCAAATCTGCTTTCGCAGCCTTCTTTAGAATCGTTTGTAGTTGTTTGTAGTGTTTTTCGTTTCGTTTGTAGTTGAACCATTCAAAAGTTGTAACAATTTAAACAAACCCCCAAGAGGCAATTTTGTCAATTTTTTAGATATCTCAAATCCGCTTTCGCAGCCTTCTTTAGAATCGTTTGTAGTTGTTTGTAGTGCTTTCTGTTTCGTTTGTAGTTGAACCGTTCAAAAGTTGTAACAATTTAAACAAACGCCCAAAAGGTGATTTTGTCAATTTTTGAAATATCTCTTGAATCGTTCTTGGGCGTTTTTTTAAATTGTTACAACTTTTGAACGGTTCAGCTACAAACGAAACGGAAAACTACAAACAACTATAAACGATTCTAAAGAAGGCTGCGAAAGCGGATTTCGGATGGCGATGACTGTTTTCGTATATCTTATATATCTTGCAAACTATTCTCTCTCTCCCATATCTTTTTATCCTCTGAGGTACAAATGAAACAGAAAGTGATACAAAAAGATACAAACGAAGATACAGAATATAATCGAACCATATTGCGAATTTTTTTTGGTTAAATTACTTGCTAAGTTCATTGGTGCCGATCGGTCGATGCGTTTTCGAGATATAATGATTATGCGTTCTGAAAACCACATTCTGGGAAAAATGCGTAGGTTTTTTGATTATGTTTACACTACAAAATCACTACAAATTTTACATTTATACTGAATCGTTTAATATAAGACTATAAAAAAATCCAATGTTAAAGTGGATGTTTCCATTAGGCCTCTTTTATTTTTTATCTATGATGTAATTTTTTTTAATGTTGCTTATCGCGCGTTTCTCTATCTAATGTACACAGTGCTCATTTTCTGCAGCAACGTATATACAGGGTATCTTAAAAATATCGGAACTTTCAGTTAACTTTGCAGGATGAAGTTTTCGTGAAAAACTTTAAATGCAAAAGTTGTAGAAAATCGAGTAACGGACTTGATGATGATCTTGAATTTGACCTAACCTAACCTAGTTTTGTTTGCACAATATTTTAAAAGAAGTTATTTTGTGAGAAAATAGTATGTAGGAAGATATAGGCCGTCAAAACATTCCCCCTCCACTCGACCCGCCGGCGCCGGTGGGCGTGGTTTAGTGGCGCCAATGGGTCGAGTGGAGGGGGGGATGTTTTGACGGCCCATACCTTCCCACATACTACTATTTTCTCACAAAATAGCTTCTTTTAAAATACTGTGCAAACCAAACTAGTTGACTAGGTACAAACTGTCAACTGAATTATAGGTTAGAAACGTCTAATTTTACGGGTATGATAGTAGTAGAACAGTGGCGCCATTGCAAGTACTAAATTGCAGAAACTTTTCCAGCAACCTACGTATATAGAAATCTATGTGCACAGGATGTTTCAGATCATCCGGGTCACCTGCTTTTTTCGTAAATGTGACATTTTAGAGAAAAATGTTTCAGACAAAAATTGTAGGATTTTAAGTGACGCATCAGATAGTGATATTAGTATGATCTTGAATAGCGTTTTCAAGATCACGTGAAGGTCACCTTTAATTTTTTAAACGGAATCTCTCATTTTTCATTGCCTATTCTTGTAGCTTATTTCGAGAGCTTTGCAAAACACTATAATAAAGTATTTTTCCATTAGGTACTTTTCGAATTATGAGGCTTGAAAGTTAGAGCACCGTCGGTATTAGCATTACCCAAGGTATACTGCGTGGAGGTTGCACAGTCGGATTTACACCTCTGTATATGCGTGTGTGCGCACGCACGCGTGTGTGTCACAGCAGAGATAAAGACCCCACGGTTCGTCACTCCCGTAGTATTTATCGACTCCAAACCCTCTCTGCTATGTGTGTGTGTGTGTGTCTGTGTGTATGTAGCTGATATGATTAGGCCTGATGTTCGAAATGTTCATCGTTTGCTTAAATGCAAGCCAATACTTTTATCTCGAAATTATTTGTTATACGAAAAATTTCATCAGCATGTAGAGAACGAATAGAGTCGCGTATTTTACGAATCACATCAGCTATATACAACACATAACAGAGAAGGTTTGGAGTCGATAAATACTACGGGAGTGACAAATCGTGGATTCTTCTTATCTCTGCTGTGATACACACACGCATGCACGCATACACATAACAGAGGTATAAATCCGACCGTGCAACCTCCACGTGGTACACCTTGAGTAATGCTAATGCTGGTAGTGCTCTAATTTTCAGGCGTCATAATTCGAAAAGTACCTAATGGAAAAATACTTTATTATAGTGTTTTGCAAAGCTTTCGAAATAAGCTACAAGAATATGCAATGAAAAATGGAGGGTTCTGTTTAAAAAATTGAAAGTGACCTTTACGTAATCTTGAAAACGCTATTCAAGGTCATACTAATACCACTATCTGTGCCTACCACGATGCGTCACTTAAAACCTTACAACTTTTGTCTGTAACATTTTTCTCTAAAATGTGTTTACGAAAAAATCGGGTGACCCGGGTGGTCTGAAACACCCTGTATAATTTAATTTGCATATAAATAGAATTAAAAATTTTATATATTTAGTGAAGCATGGAAAAGGATGACGAAGAGGTTTCTCTTACATCTACGAGCCGACGTAAAAGTAGTATTCCAGCGTCGACCGTATATCAGTCAGCGCACAACAGTTTAAATCAAGGGTCAGAACAAACATTGTATCAAAGTGTTCGTAATACTTTATATGAGGACGCTATAAGTATGAATAGCATGCATAGTGTCGTTTCCTTGGAAAATATTCAGGCATGTACAGATGAATCGTCTGTAAATAATGACACAATGAATGAGACGGTTATAGATGAAAGCTGCACAGACACAAGAAATAGCGCACACAATTCAAGATTGGTAAGAATTTTTTAGTCATTTTATATTTTATATTATACTTTATATTTTATTAATATATGTTTATTACAATTTGATTTTTGTGGTAATATTCAAAACTATACACTATTCAATAGTAGTTATATTAAGGATTCTTTTATCTATAACAATTTTTGGACTAGGAGATACCAATAAATTATTGATTAATTAATTAATAATTTAACAATTTATTTATTAGAATATCAATTATTGACTCCAATTACATAATAAATATTTCCTTATAAACAAACATTTTATATTCCTATTATATACACTGCTCAAAAGAATTATGGCATAGATAATTTATTGCCGAAAATTGGCCAACTTTGACTGGCAATTACTTCGCGAAAAATCATTGTAGACTAATGACTTTTTTTTTTAAATAAAGCTTGAAGTTTCTACTTTAAGAATGTATCTCCATTTTTTGCATGCGATGCATCTCTACCTCTGTAACCCCTGACATTTGAGGGCATGTTTGGTATACTGAAAATTGTAAAATTTGACAGAATGCACGGACATGGACAATTTTTTTCGGGCACGCTGTTTGCATCGTCATAAAGTTCAAACTTCCCTTTTAATTTGATATGAGCAATTTTCTTAAATTACTAGAAAGGAATATAATACAGGGTCAGGGTTTAACTGTGAATGCAGGGGCAGAAAAATTGATTGGCAAAATAATTGACACACTGGATAAAACAGCTCCAAAAAAAAATTATTTAGAATCCCAAACATATAGTATGAGAAAAATGATTCTCGAATGAAATAAGAATTGCAACGACGGGAAGGGATAATGCGTATCGGAAAGCTGTGTCTACAAGGAGCAGGACTTGTTAAAATATAAGGTTGAAAGAAATAAGGTAGTTAAGCTTATTAAAATTAAAAAGAAAGAATATAGTGAAAATATGATAGATCAGAATAAGAATGATCCTGCGACAATGTGGAAAATTTTGAAAGAAATAATTAGAGGAGAACCAGTGGAACAAAATATTATAGAAGATATAGACTTCGAGGTAGATAGTAACATAGTGGATAGTTGCTATATAGCGGATAAGTTTAATGTATTTTATATAGAAAGCATTAATAAGATAATTAAATCAATAGAAGGAGAAAGAAGGAAATCACCAAAAAAACTTATTTATATTGTAGAAATGAAAGACACAATAGAAAAGTTTGAATTGATTGAGACAAAGTATTTAGAGAATATCGTTATGAATCTAGCTAATAAAAAAGGAACGGAAGAGGGGATATCAAGTAACTTATTGAAAGCAATATTTTATGTGATAAAAGATGAATTTGTAGGTGTAATTAATGATTCGTTGAGGACGGGCCGATGTTCTGATGGATGGAAAACATCCACGATTATTCTTATACCAAAAATAAACAAACCTAAGAAGACTAATGAATATAGACCTATCAATATACTTCCAATCTACGAAAAAGTGTTAGAGCTCGTAGTTAAAGAAAAAATTGAAAGATATTTAGAGAGAAACGATCTAATCACAGAACATCTTGATACGTCAATAACTACGTTTACACGGCAACGTTAATCCGGATTAGTAACAACCGTAGTTAGTGAATTCTTTGATCCGATTGGTATATTCTTTCAGATTTAAAAATATACTTTAATCGGATTCGAGACTATACTAACTACGGTAGTTACTAATCCGGATTAACGTTGTTCATATAAACGTAGTTTATGAATCTATTCACATATATGTGAAGTTAGTTGATAGATGTAGGCTCAGTGAACTCACGTATACGTGAATCTGAATGTTAAAGTGTTTAAGATGTCTTTGAGATTTTAAAATATTTTTTGCACATCTGTAAAACATCATTATCTTGCCTAAGATGTCTTAAAATCTGTTTAATTCTTCTTGATCTTAATAATCTTTGTTCCGGAAGGGAAACCAACTGTTTCCTACATATTTTGAGGTGCTCAAGCAGAATCCATTTCCCAAAAATTCGTATCACGTTACATTTATGAGACGTGATATACACGTAAGACGATCCAAAATCACATAATTTACATCGCAAATTAAAATAATGCAGATTATAAATTCCTATCTACGTAGAACCACAATCATAAACTGTAAACCAACCAAACCAAGTTTCTCAATCCATAAACGCCATACATTCTAAATTCATATATTCTTGAAGACAAGATCTCTAAATAATCTAGCCAGTGAAAGTAAGATCTGAAATTAATCCGGGTAGTAAAGGCAAGAGATAAACTATAAAATTATAAAAAAATCAGATAGAATCATAGAAATCATGTTATCGAACTATAACAAGTTAAGACCTTCTTACCGCATGCATCTCATAAATGTAAAGTAATGCGAATTTTTGGGGAACGGATTCTGTTTCAACATGTCTAAATATATAGGAAACAGTTGATCTTCCTTTCGGAACAAAATATCTTTTTTATTCTGTGGTCTTGTGTTGTTTTATTTTTAAATATTAGTGTGTTGTTTTGATATTACAGCTTTCTCACTGTGGCACAAAATATAGTTTATATTTTCGAGACGAAATTCGTTCAATTGATTTTGTACTTGTGTGGGATGAGTATGACGGAGAAGCACAAACATATCGCAGCATTGAATATAGAAAGGTAAATTCAAATTATTTTATTGTAGTATATATTCACACACATGCGCGTGCGTATACTTATACATATTGTAAGCTAATTTGCATTTATTTTTAACGTATAGTTATTTGATAGTTTTCCTGTCGAGTTTAGTAAAATAATGGTAATTGTATAATTGTTTGCATGGATGTAGAAATTGTTACATTATTACACGCTTGGAATTATATAAAAAATTTTAGCGGTATGACATACCGTCAAAATTCACATTACCCGATGTATACTACAAAGAAGTGAAATATCCTGCTATCTCTTATCTGTTGTTAATAAACTTCGAATTCCATTTGGAGGTATGAATTTTTATTGATATAAAACGCTAAGTATTACAATTCGCCTATTTTTTCTGATCTTATTTTTGTATCTTGTTCATTCCCATAATTAATACTTCTGCTTATCACACACATGCGCGCGCGCGCATACACATACACACACACATGTACACGCGTACACATACGCACATAATTGGCTCTTTTTAACTATTTTTATGCCGATCGAAAGAATTGTACTTAAGCGAAGAATACCGAACCAGTTGATATAATTTAGTAAGGTTTGAGAAAAAGAGTATAAACATAAAAATAAGAATGATATTTACCAAATTCAAAAGGAGCATATTACAAAATAAAGGGAGAATAAATTAATGCCAAATGTATTTCAGTATTTGTTGAAAATCGTACTTATAATATTTATTCAAAATTATTAGGAAAAATAGAAAAATCAGTTATTTTTTATAAACAGTATTTGCAAATAAGAAGAATCGTCGTTTGGTCATAGTTTGATGTAGAACACATAGTATAAAGCATAAATATTGCATTTTCAATTATTTGTAACAAAATTATTAAAATCAAAACACAAAACTAAATGATAATCCCATGATGCGCAGCAAACATCAGGAGCATCACGGAATATAACAGAAAGTTAAACCCATAAACAATTTTTTCAATTCGTGGAACATCTCATATAGGACTTCTGAAGAAGAATTCAACCATTTATAATTTTTATATTGAGACAGTTTTGTGTTTATTTTGAGACAGAGTTCTCTCGCGATGCGAATAATAAGGTAACATCGCATGCACAACGATATATCGTCGTCGTTGGCACTTTTCGCAAGTATTGCTAACAACGATATATCGTTGTTCGATACTATAAGGGTTAAAACTATTATGAAGTATAAATCCGACCGAGCAACCTTCTCGCGGTATGTATCGGATAATATGAATGCCGACGTCAAATTTGCGTATGTCAAATTTGAAACTTCATATCTTGAAAATAGCTTGTACCAAAATAGGTAGTGTTTGGAAACGTCTCCACAAAGGTTACAAAATTATATAATAGACGGTTCTATTTAATAAAACATCGATCATATTGGCTTTGAAAAAGATTACTCAAAGTCAAGTCTGTATTGTTATTATGTAGCACTCTTGAAACGATGCAACTTTTGTTTGAAACATTTCTGTATATTTTCCATATTTCTCGAGATATGTCGAGAGATTTGCCTGCGGCATTTAAAACAGGACATCTTGTATATACAGGGTGTCCCATTACTTATAAGGGAAGGACCAGAACTTGGCCTCTCCGATTTCGACGAGTGTGATACGTGTTACAGTATTAGCCCCCCTCCCCCCAATGAAGGATAAAGTCACTTGATACAATCTTCAAGCATTCGCGATAAAAATGAGTTTAAAATTTTCGATTCCTTATGTACCGAGTAGTAAAGACAGATTGCCAGCGAACATTTTTTTTTGCATGAGGAGGAAATTCATGGATATCCCAGATCCTCGGAGAAGGGTCTGGGGCCTATATTAAACTTCTACCGGCTAAAACCTCTTCGGGTGACTTTGCAAAGGGACAGTGCTCGGGGCCCCGGTCTGCGATTGGGGCCCTGCGTCCTGACGTTTGCGTGCTTTCTATCCCCGAGGGGAAGGAGGGGAGAGGCCAAGCCGAAGCTTCTCAGCCACCCTCCTCTCTCTCACGCCTTGCCTGTAGTGCTGGGAAGCGGGAAGCCGAAGCCTCGATCGCCATTCCCAGCCAGACAGGGCGCCGTTTTGGTATTGTGCGACGGGGTGGACTACCGCCACCCCGCCGTGCCCTCGCTAGGAGGATACGACGAGAACCAGTAATCCCCACCCGGGTTCGCATCTTCCAGCCCAGCGGGTACAGAAGGAGTCAAGAACTTACCTTCCGTCTTGCTGGGACTACGCGCCTGACTAGGCAGGGGAGTCAGTGGTGACCTTCCTTTTCGGGTCCATGATAGAATGGATTGCTCAGGCAAGGGAGGGAAGTGATTGCACTAGTGGCACAGTAGTGCTACGAATGTTTTAATTGTCAACCAATCAGGACGTGCCACTCGAATTTAAAAATTATATATTGACTGGATTTTGTAAGAACGGTTCGTTGGTTGTTCGTCTCTCTACCAGTAAGGCGGCTCGTACTCAGAGCTTCTTTTTCTCAACGACAAAACGCACTCGGTTGTCGTCACCGCTTCTCTTCGCGTTGACGAGTTCAATTCGTTCGTGCATTGTAACTAATTATCGATAATAGAAATTAGTCTCAGTGTTTTCAATTCTGAGTATAGTTTATTATCCAATCCGCGGCACGAATACAAGATTCATGTCTCCCGTGCATCCGCGCCCAGCACTGGGCGATTCCAGCAGAGCGAGATTCAGGTTTCCTAACCTGCATCGGAAACATTTTGGCCCTTCGAGCCGGATTCGGAGCACAGGTGAGAGTACGAAGAGTTCTGAGGCTGTAACCCGAAATTGGAAATTATCATCCAGCATGGCTGAACCGCTAGATAAACAGCTTAAACTGAAGCGGTTGATTGAGCGTTCGCTCGAAAACTTTAAAAAAATTGGAAGAAACAACCCTACAGCCGGGAAGATTCGGTCTAGAATCTCCCTTCTTAAAGAATCTTGGAACCAATTCCTTGACGGATATGCTCTCCTGGCAACGATAACACCCGAGGCTAGTCGGATGGTCTTCGATTACTTCAGGGATAGTTATTTCGATTCGGTGGAGGAGGCGTACGAGACTGGCGAATACTGCATGACCAATATCTGTACCCATTTCATCCGCAACAAGTACAAAATCTCCATGAAGGAGATGGAGCCACACGTCTACAGTTTTGCCAGTGGCTACAGAATCATTGTGAATTGATTCCCTTCATACTTTTCATTAACGAGGCAACATTTACGCGTAATGGCATAAATAATACTAACGCCATTGTTGTACAGAATTTCCAAGTTCGTTTCTCCGTTAACGTATGGTATGGCATGATTGATGGAATGCTGATTAGTCCCGTTATTTTACAATCGTATGACAGGGCAGAGTTACCTCGACTTTTTACAAAATACGCTTCCACAACAACTAGAACATATTTCCCTGGCTACACGAAGAACAATGTATTTTCAACACGACAGAGCACCTCTTCACACACATAACACACATCTTGTAAGAGAACACTTAAATGCAGTGTTTCCACATTGCTGGATCGGTCGTGGTGGAACAGTGCAGTAGCCACCAAGATCACCCGACCTAACTCTCCTGGATTTCTGCTTATGGGGTTGGTTAAAGTGCGAGGTATATAAAACTAAAATGAATACACAGGATGAACTTATTGCACGTGTAATAGCCGCTGTTGACCAAATTAGGGACCGTGAAGATGCCCTCCGGCGCGCAACCCGCCACGTTCTCACGTTCAAGATGTGACAAATGTATTGAAGTACGGGGCGAAATATTTGAAAATTTGTTATGATAGATGTATTACAATGTAATTGCAGTAAACTTCAACTCACATTAAACAATTTCGACGTGTAATTTAACAGGGCTGTATCTCGGAAACCAGTAATAAACAACATCATGTTTATATAATATTTTTGCCTTATATTACCTCATTCTATACCCCCACGAAATATTGACCTTTCCTCCCGGGACACCTTGTATATATTGACACATGTATAAATGTTACATCTTATATCTGTTTAAATATGTTGTATACGCTTACATAATTAATTATAAGAAATGTTCAAAATATTCACCGTTTTGCTCAGCACACAATACTATTCAACGTAAAGAATTTTGGCGCAATGTGCTCAACATTGCCGACGATATATTTACAGCAGCATTTCTTATGCGATTAATCAAATTATTTCTATCATGGGGCAAAGTTCATATATATTTTTTTATATAACTCCATAAGAAAAAATCGAGCGGCGTTAGATTTGGTGACCGCGGCAACCACTTTTGCAGATTACTATGGATTTCTATTTACCTATTCGGAAATTTGCGGTTCAAAATAGTACGGATTACGATTGAAAAATAAGCTGGATCACTACTTTGTTGAAAAACCATGTTAGTTAATATATTCAGCGGAATATTTTCCAACAATTCGGCTGGAGTTTTCGTCTGCAAATGTTGCATATACATAATGTTTTAGACCATTCGTTTATCTCTTTTAAATTGAAGGAAAATAGTTTTTAATATAAATCCAGAAAAATTTCATGACTAAATCGAGTATGCTGTATCCAATGGTAATATTTTCATCTTCCGATACTAGTCAAAAATTGGTTGTACAGACCGGAAGTTGAGTTTTTTAAATGGAACATAGTGGAAGTGCCGTGTAGAATAAGCCTAATCATGTAGATTATGAAAAAAATTATCATTAGTCCGTGGATACCATCTATTTGGGTAGCGCCCTGCGTAAATCACTGCAGCTTGCTTTAGATTTCTATAGCATTCACCATACACTATTAATATATCTGTAGGCTCTTGATTAGAATATTCAATACACTCCATATTATGAAAGTATATATTCAGAAGAAAAATTCTTACAGAAAAAGCTAGAAACATAAAGATAAATATTTGACAACTGATCAACAAGAGTTGTCAAGGAGGAAAAGTGAAGCGACGTTCACTTATTAAATTAGATTACGTCAAATTTTTCTCCCACTGAGTATGTGCTTTAATGATGA